AGATCTTTTGGCCTAAGTCAGTCTGATTTACAATAGGTAGAGATCTTGTCAGCTAATTCTGGTATACTTCAGATTAAATACCAGTATTTCCTTCTAAAAAGCTAAATGCATATAATAGCACTATTCTATTCTGTAATAAATTGGCTCAATATATTCTGCTTAATGGGAAATCATGTGAGCATCACTGCCTTGAAAAACTGTTATGCCATATGTTTTTTATATAACCTATTTCATGTTTTATTCTTAATGATTAAATGGAAAAGTTGTAGTGGTCCTTGTGATGTTTTGTCTGAAAGTTGTAAGATGAACTGGTTGTTTAGTAGGTCCCTGGTTATGAAAAAGGGAAGCACGTTGAGAAAAGCTAAATTATAAAGTCCTAATGTAATTCAAAAAATTTTAGATTTTCTTAATTATCTTTTATTTGAAACAAAATGATTCATTTCCTTGGCATCCTACAGATGGCAAGGATTCTCTTCTTTCTTTTGTTTTACTTTTTGTACAGCTCCTCCTGAGAAGGCTAATTCATGATGTGGTCAGGTAGTATAACTTTGCACATCTGTCAGGAACATTGGCTAGTGATGTACTCTTTGAAACATGTTCTATCAAATACTAAAGTAAAAAAGCCAGAATCTGTCTACTGAAATACTTTTATTATTCATATATTTTTCAAACTTCTAAAGTTATTCAGAAATGTTGTTTTACCTGTAGTTGTGAGAATCAGCTTGTTATGGCTGAGTTTCTGCAAGTCCTGCCTGCCAGGTTATAAATAATACCAGCTTCCACTTTCTGCACCCTCTCTTCCAAGTTCCTTGTTTCAAAGCTGGAGTTTGTAATAGCCTAGTAGCAAAAAACATATATTCTTCCTTGAAGACTTCTCTTTTAAAATTAACTATCAGCTGAGTTGTATTTTGGCAGTCTCAGCCCAGAATTTCCATTTTTGTCATGTTAAAAGTTTTTCTGAACCCAAAATAGCATTGAGGTTTTTCTGATAACGACAGGATTTTTCCCAGTGTTTGCTTGGCATAGGATTTTGTTCTAACTTAGATTGATGAGGTGCTCAGAGTCATGCCACAGCTGAATTTCTCTTTCTGGGGGTGCAGTGCCTGAAGAGGCTGCAGAGGCAGCCCAGGAGGGCCAGCAGACTAATTTTAGATATGCAGCTCACATGTCTGTTATTGGCTGATGCAAATCTTTTTCCCTCAAGTGCAAGTATATATGGCAGTTGACTAGCAAGGTGATACAACTGAGGGTACTTAGGCAAGATCTGTTTCAGGGAAACAATTTAGAGTATGTAAATCATCCTACATTTCAGCCTCACAGTGCCTACACAACTTTCAAGCCCTACAGGCATACCCTCCACTGCATCCAGTGAGAATGAAGAATATTGCTGTATTCCTTCCGTGCAATCCTGTTGGATTTGTACTCCGAGCAAACTCTTGTTAATTCGTCTTTGAATGCAGGTAAACATGTATGTTGTGGTAACTTAAGAAAACAAAGAGGCTGTTTTTCCTTAGGTTGCCTGAAAAGGTGTCACCTGGGTTATGTTCTGTGTTTGTTATAATCCAAATATTACTGTTTTCCTCATCCTCCTTAAGAGCTATACTTGGTCACAAAATAAAATGGGATTGCTTTGACCCAACCTGTT